CGGCAGGCTGGCCGGGGCGCCGCGCTCTGGTCCCCGCCAGCCGCGTGAGTCACGGTTAGAGCGAGGTTTTATTTTTAAAACGACTTCAAGGGGGGCATAGGCAGCCTCCAACTTCCCTCCCTGCGCGCTATGGACTGTCAGACCGCGCCGGCGGGGGTTGGCCGTGCACCTGGCGGCTGGAACGGTGGGGCTACCAGGCTGGGGGCGGCGCACACCTCAGCTCTCCAAGCAAGGAAGCAACAGACTGGGCGCACCCCCTCCTCCACCGGGGACCAGAGGCCCAGGGGCAGAAGGCTGGGGAGCTGTTGCCGGGCTGCGGAACGGTGGCTGATCTGAGCTCTCCGAGGAGAAGAAAGTTGTGAAGCGGTGACACCAGGGAGCTGCCCCAGGCTCCCCACTGGCCCGGGAGGGCGTCGGGGCTCTCTAGGGTGTGTGGCTTTGAGAGAGGGAAGCCTAGCTGGGGTGTGCCAGGCCCCGCCAAGGTCCAAGCCAAGGCTCTGTTGGGAATACATGAAGCCAAGGTGGGTGGAGGGGCTGAGGTAGGGGCCCCTGCACCCACAGGGGTGGGAACCAGCCCTATCCTGGCCCCTCCCCATGTGGCTTAGGAGTTGGGGGAGGGCTGCCTGTGTGTGGGATACGGCCTGGCCACAACCCAGGGTGCTGATGGTGGAGAGGAGGACCTGGCTGCCCTGGTCTCAGGGAGAGGCTCCGCAATGAGGGGCTCAGGGCTCAGGTTTCTGGAGTTGAAAGCCAACTCTGGCTCTCCTGCCAGCCCCAGGAGGAGAGGCGCAAACATCACCTGTCAGCTGGTGCTGCTCTGTGGGTGACAGTTCAGGGCTTCCTCAGAAGGTTTAAAATGGAAATGGTCTGAGCTGCCAGGGCCAAAGCCTGGGAGGGGACAGAGCTGGATTTGCAGTGAGGGTCCCGGGGAGGTCTGAGGGGTCCGGAGAGCTGAAGGGCTGTTAACGTCTGGCTGAGGGATCAGCCATGGACAGGTAGAGAAAGGCAGACAGGATGTGGGGGTAGGGGATCATGTTGGCACACCCCCTCCTGAGTTCTCATACAGACACGGAGATGGGATATATTGTTTTTAAAAACCTCCCTGCAGAGTTTGGGCAGCACACGCCCCCTTGGCAGGGGTACCCTGTGCTGACTTCATGAGACCTGAGTCTGTGTGTCCACACTCTACAATTTAGTGGTTTCAACTCCCTTTACCTCTCTGTGCCTCAGTTTCCCTTGCTAAAATGGGGTTGCTTGCCTGTACCCACCTCTCAGATGTTAGCTGGGGGTGGGTGGGGGCTGCAATGTAAGATGTATTTGCATATGTCAACTAGAGTCCCCCTATATATTTCAGATTGGTCTTGAATTTACTATGTAGTCCAGGCTGGCTTCAAACTTGCAGCGATCTTCCTGCCTCAGCCTCAGGAGTCATGGGATTACAGACGTGTGCCACCACACCCAGAAATTAAATGTCCTTAATAGTCCAGTTCCTAAGTGGAAGGGGTCCCCAGGGGTCAGGTTGTCTGCAGACCTTGGAAGGCTGGGTCAGAGTCCCCAGCCCAGCTGTAGCCTCATGCTAGGCCTCAGCGTGTGGTGTCCTCCCTACGCTCCCCTCTTGCTCCTTTGAGATCTCCCAGAGATGCTCCTGGGAGATCCACCCAGCTTGTTTCTAGGGAGGTGATGCTGCTACCCAACTGTATCACCTGCTGCCAGGGCTGCAAAGGGAGGCCTACAGGACAGCTCCACAGACTCAGAGCTGGTGGCCAAGCAGGGACCCACTGTCCCTGGAGACCCAGTGACCTTGGCTGGGGCAGGAAGATATAGCAGCATCCTCTGTGAGGTCAGGTGGGCACCCTGTATTTGGACAAGCAAGGAGGAGCAGTGCACAAAAAGATGGCAGGTGGATGTACCCACATCAAAGTTAGTGAGTGGGACAGAGCCCCAAGTGGCCCTGATAAGGCAGTGTCAAGGGACAGAGAGACAGGCCTGGAACGAGCTGACTGCCTGCAGAGGCCCAGTGCAGTGGCCGTTGTCAAGAAGAGGCTGCTGTGGTGCAGGAGGATGAGGCCCCTGGGGCCAGCTGGGCACAGCTGTCTCTGTGCAGTCAGGTGGGACAGAGGCAGGGAGTTAGAGATCATGGTGCATGGTGGGGACAAGTGGGTGGCCCTGCTGTATGTCCCTTGGGAGCTGGGGACCTCCTGGCAGGCTCTTCCCCACCTAGCCAGACTGGCCCGGAGTCAAGACCGGAGACCTGATCTGAGATGGAGCCTATCCCAGACTGTGCAAGAGGGATTCCAGCTGGGTTTGCCCTTCTTCCCCACCGGAAAATGACGCCAACTACCTCAGCATCCAGACTGATGTGTTGTTGGCACCCTGGGATGCTGCTCAAGGGTCCTAAGGACTTGTTCTGGAGAGAATTTCTTCCGTTGGCCAGTTGACTGTTAGCAAGTGACTGGACCTCTGTGGGCCTCAATTAACTCATCTGTAAAGTGGGGCAACAGCAGTACCAGCTTGGGTGCCTACTATGAGGTGGCGCATGTAAGGTTTCTGACAGAATCCATGCCTCCCAACACGGGGCCTGTGGTTCCCACCCCAGGTTCACTCCAGGTGAAGGGACTTTCAGCCTCTTCACATTGCGGGGTGGCAGGAAGGACTGGCACGGTCCCCCACCCCAACTAGCAATACCTGTTCTGGGCGAGATCTTATCCCCTTGGTGGTGGGGGGCCGTCAGCTCCAACAGCTGGCTCCAAGTGACAGTGGGAATTGTCCAAGAGCAACCTGCGGGAGGCAGGAGGGGCTGTTGCTATAGGGCCCTGCTGGACTGGAGTGCCCGCTTGCCTGGACAGCAGAGGGCATGGCTGTGGCTGAGGGTCCTGCCTTGCCAGCCTCATCATCGGGCAGAACCTAGGGCTCTTAGGAGGGGCTAACACAGGACTCAGCCCTGGTGGTGCTCTTGACCCACACCCTCGGAGAAGGCCTATGGTGGGTTGTCCTCTTCCCAGAGCTGGGCTGTTCTGACAGAAAGTTTGGTCTGGCCCTGACCGGGGCACAAGGCGGCTGCGTCACTCTCTGCCGTGGGCTGGGCTGGGGGCAGCCCGGATGGCTGGGCACTCCCTGACAGCCACTGTGCTCCCTGGCAGCAGCTGGAGCCCAGAGGGTTTCAGTGCTGCGTCTGAGCAGGCCTGCGTCTGCCTGAGCGCCCGCAGATGCCTGTTTACCGCTGCCCGAGGCCCCCAGAGTCTGGCTGCTCCCAAGGGTCAGCAGCTCTGCAGATGATGTCAGGGTTTTGGGGCCTTTACTTGCTTTGTGGAAGATGTTTGCCGGATTTGCCACAGCCCTGGGCTCAGATTCCCTCTGCAGGGCCTTCAGAGCCCAGGCCAGTGGGTGCCAGGAGAGAACCCCGCGCTGTGGGAGGTTGGGGCTGAAGCTGGAAGGTGCCTGCCTGCAGCCCTGGCTCCCTGTGCCTCCCCCTTCTCCCTCCTTTCCTGCTCGTGCATTCAGGCACCCATGCCCTCACGTGATAGCTAAGTACCAGCTCTAACCAGGCGTGGCGCTGAGCTCTGGGATGAGAGTGATGAGCAAAAGCAGCCCTCAGGGAACTTCCAGTCGGGTGTGGAGTCACTCCCGGATCTGATGTCACCACCGGGAAGCCTCAGTTCTGGGGGCAGAGGTGGCTGGGGAGGTGGTCAGTCAGGAGCCTGCTGGGTCCAGGGGTCCAGGAGGCTTTCAGGGTAGGGGCTGTGTGAGTCAGGACGTGAAGGCTGAGCTGCCATCGGTGAGGAGGAGGGACAGGAGTGAGGCTTGGTGCCCTAAGGGACAGCGAGGCTGCACACAGACCTGTGCTCAGGTGTGAGGAGCACAGGAGGGGGCAGTGGCCACGAGGGCCCTGAGGCATCTGGAAGAGGCTGGAGCTGGTGGCTGTCTCCTGGTCTCTGTGGCCTGTCCATTTCTCTCTCTCTCTCTAGGGATAACCGGGCCAGCCCAGCCCTGCCCAGTCCTCCCAGACCTCTGTTCCTGAGGGCGGTGTGTTCACTGGTGCGGGCAGGCTGACCTCGCCTCTGCTGGGTGGCCAGGGACTTGTCGGGTTTGGCTGCTGTTTATGATGAAGGGGTCTCCTCAGCTCTGAAGGGTCCCTGGGTTGCGGGGTGGCTGGAGTGCAGGCAGAGGGAGAAGGGAGCAAAGGCTGGGGGCTCTTTCAGAGGCACCAAGACGCTGCTGTATGGTAAAAGCTCAGCTAACCACTAGGGGACACTGCCTCCCAGGCAGAGCTCGGAACCCAGGCATCTGGGGTGGCCCTAGCGCCTCCTGCGGAGCTGTGAGTGGTGCGCGTGCGGGTGGGTGGCAGTGGTGGGGCTGTGGAGAGAGGGCCCTGTACATAATTGAAACCGGGAGGCAGCTAGGGTTGGGAGGCGCTAGTCCTGGCCATTCCTGCCTACATCGCCATAGAGAAGCAGCTCAGCTCCGTGGTGGGATTCTTTCCATTCCCTTTTCCCTCCTTCTGCCTGAATTAGTCGTTGGCACCAGATTACAACAGATTTAGCAAACTAAGAGAGAGAGAGAGAGAGAGAGAGAGAGAGAGAGAGAGAGAGAATGATTTCCGAGGAGATGGTATTTATCTACAGAAGCAAATTGCTCTTGGTGAACCTGATGTCCCCTATGACCCCTCCACTCCTCCTTCCTGCGCCTCATGATGCTGGGGGAATGCTGCTCAGGAAAAGGTCCTCAGAAATGCTGCTGGGTGCTGGTGCCAGCATGGGCTTTCCCTGGGGGCGGCCTGCCAAAGCGGAGGCTCTGCCTTCGGGAGCCAAGGGAGGAGGGCAGAACCATGGGGCTCTTGTGATGTGGTGGGCACCCCGGGGGGCCCATGGGGATGATGCCCAGCTGGTCCCTAGTGGCAACGGGCCCGGGGATGAGGGTGGGAGGCAGGGCCACATAGGGCAGGGGCCTTTGCCCACCACATTCCCTGCTGGAGCCCTGGCCTACAGTTTGGCCCGGCACATGGTAGGGGCTTGGTATATGTCAGGGTGAAAGAATGAATGGATGGGTGAATGAATGACCACCTTGGGGGCTGGTGTGGGTGTTCACGCTGATAAGGGTCCAACCTGCTTATTGCAACTCCTGGGAGCAAAGTCCTGTGTCAGTCGTAGAGCTCTAACAGCCGCCTGCTGGTTTTTATGGAATGACCCTGACTTGAAGTCCATGCTCTGTGGTCAGAGAAGCCTGTTTTACATTCAGATCTGGCTGCTCATGGGTGAGTATCTTGGCCTTGGGGTGTGGCAGGTTCCAGAGGATCACGGAAGTTTAGCTGAGTTCCTGAAGGAGCCTGGTCCAGTAAAGTAGAGGGGAATCTAGCAGCCCAGGGTCACTGTGCCCCTCCCCTAGGTGGGTGGGACCTAGGTTTAGTAGGAGTCGGATGGGACCCACTCTCTCTTAGAGCCACAGGTCACTGTGGCCTGGAGTTGGCCATGATAGAGCAGGCTGTGGTCTGGGTCAGGCAGGGCCAGGTCGGAACTGGGGACAGTTGGTGCTCACATTTCTTGAACACTCCCACTAGTCTGCAGGATCACTTTTTTTTGGGGGGGGGTATCAGGGATGGAACTCAGGACATTGTGCTTGCGATGCAGACACCACTGAGCTAAATCCCTGGCCCTTCAGAGTCGCCTTTGTACATGCAGTCTCGCATCTCACAAGATGCCTAACCTGTCGCTCTTAAGCCAGCTGAGCTGCCTCTTAGACCGTGGACCCCACCTGCTGCTCTCAGGCCCTCTGTCACCATGTGCTCTCCCTGTGCCCCTCCCTGGGAGGCGGTCCTCCCAGACCCTTCTCCAACTGAGGCATGTGGGCAGCCCTATCTCTGACCCTGGAGGAACTGGCGTTGGACAGGGCCACCTACCAGTCAGCAGATGGGGGCCGGCCTGATGCCCTGCAGGGCTGTCCAGTGGGCAGAGTGCCCAAGGAGGGCTGGGGGGCTTGAAGCCCTTCCCCTCCTCACTGAGGCTGCTGCCCCATAGACTGCCCACCTATCCCAGGCAAACAAACCATTCACACTCCTCTAGCTCCCACCCAGCTGGTAGGGGTCTCCATGCCTTTGTGACTCTATCTCCCCACTACTACAGGAAGGGCTTGGATCACAAAGCCTCTAAGGGCCCAGTGGCATCATCTGTGGCCTTGGGAATCTGAGCTCCGAGACTCCTCAGGTTTGGGCTAGCAAGGTAGGCAGGGCCAAATCCCCCACTGCCAAGGTTTTCCCGCCTGCCATCTCTGCCAGGCTCACCTTCTCCCTACTGAGAGAGAAGGGAGACTTAGGCATGCCCCATCCTGGGCACCACCAGGCACAGTGGACTTGGGTTCCGATCTTCCCTTTGGTGCTGTCAGCCAAGTGTCCCGTATCCATAGCTGTGACGTAGGGTGACCCAGCGGCCTTCCCAGGGTCAGTGTGAACACTGTCGGGATCAGGGCCTGCAGAGGGCTTTGGAGGAGCCTTACACACCTCCATGGGGCATTTGCTACGCTGCTGAGGACTGACATGGATCTGAGTGTGGGGGGCTCCAAAGTGCTCAGTTATGATGAAGGAACACTTGGGGTGTTGGTAACTGGGGAGGGGTTGGGGAGAATAAAGTCCCGAGGGCTCTCAAAGTGGCGAGAGTGGGAGGTGGCAGGAGTGACAGGGTTAGGGCCTAGCTGTGGGATGGGAGGATGGGGGCCTCAAATGTCAGCTCTGCCCAGGCCGGTACCCTGGTATGGGTGAGGCAGTTACACCTGCCTACGGGGCACCTCTGTGTCACAGGTAGGAGCCAGTGCCCAGGGATTGTTGGGACTTGGTTTCTCCCTCAGAGGAGACCCTGGTGGCTCCACTACTGAGTGTCTGCTGTATGTGCTTTGTCTTTTCTGGAGCGCCATGCTGTGATCCTACCTGTTCAGGATCTCAGGGTTCACAGAGGACCTCTTTTACAGAAGCAAACTCTGCCACCCAGACAGAGAGTGATCAGACCAGGACGCAGCTAAGATGTGGCAGCTTAGAGCACATGCTCTTATTCTCTCCCGACACTGGGCACAATAAGCCCACCTGGGGGCATTTGTGGTGACCGACACCTGTACAGGGTGCCTGGTGGTCCCCAGGTGAGCCTGTCCCAACTTTACCGGCCCCTAAACATGGACAGAGGGGTGAAGCGTTGTGCCCAAGGTCACACAGAGGAAGGGAAACCACATCCTGTGTGCTGGAGTGCTCTCGGCTCCAGTTCGCTGGGGCCCTTTATAAGCACAGGTGGGAGTCTGAGGCCCAGAGATGCTGTCTGCTGTCACCCAGGGCTGGACTCGGTCTTCTTCAGGCATCCCCTGCGATCATGCCCTCCCAGCTCAGACTCGCCCAAGGCCACTGGGCTGCTGCTTCGGTGACTGATCCTCACACCTCCTCGAGTGCTCCTGCCTGACCACGTTCCCTGAGGCCCCACTGTGTGCTGGACACAGTGCTGGCATTTATAGCATGCATGTGGGGGAGGAGTGGGGGGAAGGGCATCGTTCCAGGGGCCTGTCGGGGGGGCTGGGGGAGCAGCTGCGGTTGTGGTGGGTGGCATGTGCTGTCCCTCTGCCCAGCGTGCTGGCCCCATGACGTCAGCAGGTGGCCCAGCTGGGGCTATGCTTCCCACTACTGCCCTTGGGAGGAGCTGGGTGGGCAGCGGGCAAGGGGCCCTGGGAGGGCGCCTGCGGCCTGCGGTCACAGAGCAATCTCCATTAGGGCCCGTGAGCGAGTGGCTGCAGCTCCTGGAATCCTATTAAAAGCTTTTTCATTGTTCCCCGAGATATGCTCCGCTCCGCCGGGACCTGGGCATGTTGATAATTTATTTGTGGAAGCGAAAGGGGCGAAGAGCACAGGAGAGGCAGAATCGTCATTATTTACTCAGCCAGTTTCTGCATCTGGGCTGGTGTGGGGCAGCTCGTGTCGGGGCGCATCATCCCCACCCTCACCCACACACTGGCTCTCTTTTAGAGGATCATGCTCTGGTCAGGGAGCTGCTGCAGCGGACGTGGTAGGGGAGAGAGTAGGCCTAAATCCTCTGGGGGTGCTGATGCTGATGGGGCCTCAGTGTACCTGCAGAAGCCCTCCACATCCAGCCTGTCTGGGCTCAGATGGCACGGATGGGGTGGGGCAGTTCCTGATGTCCCCACGCTGCCTCCCATGTGGAAGCCCCTCTGTACCCTGAGCAGAGGGCCGGGGAGGTGACAGCCTTATGGGTCCTGACGGTACAGACTGGAGAGAGTGCTCTTGGGGTCTTGAGCAGGGGAGCATAAGGAGCCCCACAAACCCACAGCGGCCAGCAGTGTGGCTGAGCGAGTTGCTACATCCCTTAGAAACTAAAGACCAGGAAGAGACCTCACCTCAGAGGGACGGGAAAGAATTCACAGCTAACGATCATGTAACAGCAGTGGCCCTGGCAGGTGTCACTGCACATTCACGATGTATAGTGATGGCTATGCCTGTCACATACAGTATCTCACTTAACCCTTAGTGTAGATGGCCAAGGTCACACAGCACACAAGAGGCCAGGAGGGATTTCAACTCCACCTTCTCTTAGTGTGGCTACTGCTTCTGGTGTAGGCTCCCTCTTCATCCTCAGCTCCCCCTTCCAAATGAGGACACCCCAGAGGGACAGAGTCACCTCCCACAGAATCATCCAATATTAAAGTGAGTCGCCCGGCTGGGGCTGCAGTTCAGTGGGAGAACACTTGCCTGGTGAGGCCCTGGGTTCCGTGCCCAGCACAAAGACAAAAACCTCAGTTGTCGGGCTCTGTGGGGCACAGGACTTGCCCCCCCAGCAGATGAGGCAACAGGTTCACAGAGGTGACTGCACAAAGATGGGGCTGGCCAGGCTGGTTCAGGATCTAGAACTCTCCCGTGTGCCAGCTCTGGGGCTGTCTGACATTGAGGGGTATAGAGCATCTCAAGGCAAGGGGACCCCCGGGCTGTGTCTCACCCATGTCCCTTCATAAGCACTCCTGACAGGCTCGCTCCAAACCGCAGGGTGGGAAACACCCCTACCCTTTCCCATCCGGTAGTGCAGCTACCATCAGGCATGCAGGGTGGCAAAACTCACCCCTCGGAGCCCTCAGCCGAGCCGTGTCCTATATCTGCAAGGCCACCTCACTCCCCTTCAGACGCCGCCTCCTGTGTGAAGCCCTCCCCGACTAACAGACACCAGACTTCCTGACTTCCCACTCTAGCCTCACAGTAGGTGACTGTGCTTTGTACATCTGTCCCGCTCTACCCACCCTTATTGCTCTTCTTCCCCCTCCCCTGGGCCCGGTGATTCATCAGTTCACCCAGCTGAGGATTCGAAGCCTGAGATCCACTGATAAATTGTCTCTACAGTGGCCCCGGGAGCGAGTGTCATTAAACCATTTCATAAAGGAGGAACTGGACATTCAGGAAGGTCCGGTCACCTGGCCATGATCACCCAGCTTTCAGGGGCAGAGCTCAAGATAAAGCTGGGTGCCCGCCTCGGAGACCTGGCCCATCAGTGGGGCTGGGAAGGGTAGTAATCAACCTGGCCCCTGCCTGCTCCATGAAGGGTGTTAAGTGTGGGCCTCATCTAAGCCTCACAGCGGCCCAGGTGTACTTGGAGTGCCCACTTTTTGATGCGGAAACTGAAGCTACAAGAGGAAGGGAGTGGGGAGTTAGTGCCCCCACATTTCCAGGTGCCCACGTGCCAGCCCAGAGCTGCCCGTTCAGTGTGGGCGCTGGCCCGTCTTGCCCACCTGAGGAGACCCAGCCTGGCTCCTGGGCTGCTGCCTGCCCTGGCTGGGCCTCCTCAGAGGAAAAGGCGGGCGTGGGCCCTGCCCCCACGGCAGCTGCCTCCCTCCCGGTGGCCTCGCAGACAGACAAGGCTTGTGAGAGCTGGGGGGCCTTCGAGGAGAGCGTGGCTCCTGCCGGCAGCTGCTCAAAGGCTTCTTTGTGGCAGGAGGGCCGGCTGGGGGCAGCTGCCCTGTCGGAGGCGCAGACAGCCCAGCCTTTGTGCCAGTGCGCTGCCCTCGCCCTGACCCAGGGTCAGCAGGACAGAGCCCCTCTCTGCGGGAGGCTGGGACCCTGGAAGGGGTGTGGCCTGTGCTGTTGGGGACCCAAGGGGTCCCCTGCCTGTAGATCTGGCCACAGAGGAGGGCAGGATGACAACAGCAGCAGCAACAGCAACAACAACAACAACAACAACAGGGCAGCCACCGAGTGCGGGATCTTGGCCGTGCATGTGCTGGTGAGCTCTGTGCATCTTATCTCACTGCCACTTTATGAGTTGCTGACAGTCATTTGATCCACTTTAGGGATGAGGAGACTGAGGCTCTGCCAGGCCGAGCAACTCCAGAGCCCATTCTTGCACATCAGACCCTGCTGTCCGTGCCATCCTATGTGTAGAGCCAAAGCCATCCCGTCCCGTCTCTGCAGATCTCAGCCAGCTCAGTCCTGTGGAGGGGTCTTCACCCCATTTTAGACCCCAGAAAACTGGTACTCAGATAGGGGCCAGGGTGCCGGGAGCCCCAAGTGCTAGGCAAACTGTGCTTTGACCCTTTGGGCAGGTGGGTTTGTTGCCTATGCCTTGTGGGTGAGAGGTACAAGTTTGCTAGGGACCGAACAGTGGAGGAAAAATGACAAAGCCGCAGAAAAAGACACGGGGTTTGGGGGCTGTGTCAGCCCCACCCATAGTCCCCCTCTTGGAAGGACCCTTAGAGACCACTGTGCCACACCCCATTGTGTGTCAGGGAAATTAAGGTGCAGAATGGGTAACGACTGGTCCAGGACCCCTCAGCCTTGGGGACAAAATGGGCCTGTTGTCTGTGGACTCCACAGCACCGTGCATGGGTGCCTACCTCACCTCATCTGCACAGCAGTTCACCACCAAGGGCAGAGCCCCTGGGCACCTGAGTCTGCTAGCTCAGCTGCTTTTGCCGGCTTCCCACTCCTGGCATCTCCCCTGACC